TTTTAATTTTTTTTCTGAGGCCCTATAACTTTCTGCTGTGTATTTATCTTCTTTACGTTTCCATATCGTTCACTTCATATGAATGCATGGAAACTTGGACGACTTAGAAGATTTCCTGTGATTTTTGTTGTTAAATTACAATCAGGAAGATCTCTAGTTGCAGTAATACAAATACACCACAACAAACACTACTTTGCACAAATTAAAATTTCAGCTATAATTACAACTTTCTACAAGCAAACCAACCAAATTTCCAGCCTTGCTGACAGTATGATATAGTAAAGATAATTATCAAGGCTTGAAGTGGATAAGCCTTCGCATCAGGATGAGTTAAAGTGCATCTTCTTTAATAAAAGAAGACATTTTGGGTTTGAAGACTTTTATTCATAATGTTATCAATCCATCAAATTTTAGTCTACATCAGTTTAACACCTCGCCCCGAAACGCTGAAAAAAATATTTTGACAATTAGTACTATGCATCAAACATTGGTAACCAAGAAAGATGCATGAAGTCAAAAGGATAGGTTAAACCTCAGATTCTTCTATTTTTGCTCTTTCAACAATAAATATCAATTTTGAGACCCACACCACATAACTTATTATTAAAAAACAGAGAGAAACGCCTCAACACTATTAATGCTCTTATGACATGGCGATCCTGTGATTTTACCGAACTCCACAATAAAAAAAAGAAGAAAAATTAAACTTTCAATAGAAATTTCACTCTTTTTTCAACATATGATCCTGTTAGAGTGCTTCATACTTTGGTCTCGGATATGTATGTTGATGATACTGCAAGGCCCTCACTATCATAAGTTCGTATTAGTCTCTGCCTCTTCTGCAGTGATTCCATCCAACAGAACTCAAGATGGAAGGATTGAGACTGAGCCACACTCTTGGCAACATCGGCAGGGCATCCCATGTACATTCCTCCAGGCAATAGGGTAAACTGGAATCCTCCGTCAAAATTGATGAGATTGCCCGATACTGTGCCTGTCCAGTGAACATTTGTTGTTGTACCACCAGAAGTTGAAGTTATGTCCTGATAGAGGAATCGCAGAAGAAGAATTTGCTCATATATCTTGTCAACAATAAGTGATTGTTAGAGTTTTGGTGTGATGGAAGGAACTTTTAGATTTCAAAATGATTCAGTTTCAAATCCCACTAGATACATATTATGAACATTTTACAGGAAGAAAACTATTGCAGTGTAAGATTATCTAGGTTTCAGCCTATGAATAAAACCTGTAGGCCATAACCTGGAGGTATGTTAAGAGTATAAAATTATAATCCCCAACTCTCAGCACAACTTGGAAGTTTTGGTTCAAGGAGCAGACTTTAGGAGTGACCTCGATGCACATAAGAATTAAAAAACAGAAAACAAATTGAAAAGAAAGATACTTGTGCATCATTAACGCAGCACTACATCAATCCTTAGAAGTTTTTATCAGTTAGAAAGATAGGTAATTTTTTAGCTACTGCCACCCATGTTGACTAACCTTGGAGGGCCTTCAGATATGTAAAAGCTTGTGATAAGCTTATGGTGAAACTTCTAGATGAAATAAATTCAAAAATTCCAACAAGATAATTTAGAATATACTGAATGGTCCCAGCAAGCTATTCGTTAAAGATATGCTATAGCAATGATAGGTTGTAGAAACCGAAACTTCAACCGATATCTTGAAGTTAAAAGATTGGAAATATACATTATTAAGCACTTAAGCAGCTATTTGAATGTTTATATAGCCTTGTAAGAAGCGGATAATGGGAAACGGGATGAAAACGAACAGGTAATATTGTCATGTTAAGACGAACTTCAAGGGGAAATGATAAAGGCACTCTCTTCTGATAGTAGTTCGTCACACGTTCAAGGCTTGTCTCCAACATACTGAGATGAACTCTTATTTCCAGGAGATGTCCACCTCACTAAAAAATGAAATAAAAAGAATAGTTGTTGCAATCAATCATCATCGTGCCAGTTATTTTTTCCCCCTGATACAAAGTCATACTAACATTTTTTAAAATTTGCAATGTCCAAGATACTTTCAGTAAGCCTACATTATACTGGTGTTTGAAATATTGCTTAGTATACAATGTTGATTATTGACACCTATTTCTCAAATTGGTGTTGCATAAATCTGAAGGAAGATTTTGCAGCAGAGATGTCACAAACCTGAATCAACTGACCCTTGTCATCAATTTCAAGTAATGCAACGGTATCAGCGTTTGCAATTGTTGCCCCATATACACCACTTCGTTTCGTTACAGAATGGCCTTTCCATTGGCCCAGCAATGGAGTTACCCTAGTTGAGATATCCTGCCAGAATGAGAGTGATAAATGAACACGCCCTAGTTGAAGAAAGCAGCAAGGCACTTATCAATATATATAAAATTATAAATCATACTATATAGTTTCAACCAGAAAATTGGGATGGCATAACATGAGATTGAAATAACTGCTATTTTAACAATTAGTTGATAAGACACTAACCTCCAAGCTGCATGAAGTAGAGATATCGGGTGCTTCATTTCCTCTTTCTTCGAGAAAAATAAGAAGCATGTCAAGGGCACCCCTTGGGTCTAATATATGAAAGGCTCTCGCCCTCATGTCCTTCTGAAATGAATAAAGGCAATTCTCGCAGACAAGAGAAGGACGCCTAGAAGGGATCTTCAGATGTCTAGTGAAAGATTCAGGTTAGAAGCTTGAAAGAACCTATAAACAAGTAATAAATACACCAATCATAAAGTCCACACTCTTATTGGTGGAGGAAACTTCAAACTTACTCAAAGTTGCCAGGACCCCAACTTGAAAAGATTCTTAGAACTAACAGTTACTCAAGAATGTATGTTAAAAGATGATCAAGCACTGGTTCAGAATATAAAGTTAATACATCATTGGGTAGCCTAAGAAATATACAGTCCTAGAGTTGAAAGGCAAGCAGACTAATGTTTTATGGTTACTTAAAAATTTCATGAACTTTTGAAGAAAAACTTACGTGTCTCATAAAGAAAGTCATCCAATGACGAGAATACTTACTTGGGAGATTCTTCCCCCGTGTCATCTTCTCCTAGTACACCAGCTCTAAGTACAGTTTCCAACATTCCAGCAGTCTGGTATCTTAGAGAAAAAGCCTTCTCTCTAGGAAAGAACCCAATCTGAAGACTAAAGAGCACCACTACTCAAAGTAATCACCATCATAATCTTAAAAAGATGAACATAGTACAATCCTAAGACGCAAAAATCCTAGTTTTAAAGTATAATTGAAAAATGAAAAGAAAAGATTCACCTGTTGATATTTGTCAACTGTAAACATGTTAGTCTCCTTAATTTTGTATTCTTCCCATTCAGGTTCTGATTCATGGCCCTCTATTGAGGTTCTTGAAGGAGCTTGCTTTATGTACAGCCTATAAAAATAACCAAGCTCAGGCTTATATATTCTTAGCAGAATAAGATGAATATTAATCTGGGAAATAGAAATAGAAAGTTCAAGACACATTTTATTTATACTAATACAATACCATTAAGTACTGAAAAACATCAGAGCTGCCAAATGCACACTATATCAATTTGTTGAACCACCCTCGCACTTCTCATTAAAATCACAAGACCTACATCATTTTATGAAGTTACCAAAACTGCATTGTGATGTCCAAGGACACCCATGACGAAGTGGATGGATGTGGTGTAATTGTACAACTTCAGGACATCTATTAATCACTTACGAGTTAAGCGAGGTTGAGCCATTATAGTGAAAATAAATTCAGCAGATTTTTGTGAAATTTACCCTATAATTTCTAAGACGTAGCACACTAACTCCGCCAATTATTGGTCTGTTCAACATTATTGAATATGAAAAAACTTGTCCCACATAACCACTTACCAATGTCTAATGCATATTAACCTAACAAAAATCTTAAAGAAAGAGAAAAATAAAAATACAAAAAAGAATGTACAACAACTTACACCCTAACTCATCAAAAGCTTAATTGGTTTGTAAATTATTTTAATGGTTTAGGTTCTTTAACATGTGAATAACAACCTAGAGACGGAGCTAGAATTTTTATTCAGCTTAGGCACTCAATCAGGAACTACTTGGAAAAAAAATTCACAGACATTGCTTCAAAGTATGACAAATAATAATTATTAAGCATGAAACATATTTAAGTTTCATGACATTAAACATGTGTCAAATTTAACAATAGTCATA